TGATTCTCAACAGAAAATGGTTTCCTACAAAGTTGTAAAGGACAGCACTGGGCAGGTATTTTATTGTTATTTAACCTTTATTTAACCAAATGAGTCTCATTGGGATTAAGAATCTTTTTTTCAAGGGGAAAAAAAGAACTGGCCGTCAGCAGCAGCAATAAAAACACACTGTTACAGACATACAACACAAAAGAAGACAAAATAAACAGCATTTCAAAAAGAGAAATATTAATCAGATTGATTAACATAAATACACAATGCCCTTTTTTCTAATTTCTGTAAGGGCATTTAGGACAGACAGATTAAAGATTTCCTGAGATTGCAAAGAGTACTGTGCTGTAGTTTTCTGTGTGATAAAGATATAAAAGTAGTGTGGGGCATACCAAGAATTGCCTTTTTTATATATATACACATATGTATGTATATAAAGGATTAGCAATGTAAGAAACTACAGGTTCATTAGGCTACAATTTGTAGTCTAAATGAACCTCAAGGAATCATGATACGATGTATCAAGCATATGAAGGCACTGAGCAGTGGTATGCATATATAAAAGATAACTCATAATCCAGTAATTCAGTTAGCCTCTTTAATCAAAATACACAAGTATTTGTAAGAGTTAACAACTTCTGTCTCACTTCTCTCAAGAGTGACCACTGAAGGAATATTTTGCGGCCTAGTCTTGGCCTTATATGAGTTTCAGCTAAAGTAGGGTATTACAATATTCTTTGCATTTTGCAAGTATTCAATGGCCTGTACAAGAGTGGCCACACAGCGGTATATGACAGCGTCATCAGCATAAAAATTCAAATTAGTATCTTTTCACCCAGATTATTTATATAAATAGAGAATAAAAGTGAACCTAATAAAGAGCCCTGTGACATCGTTGCAGATGGATGCACCAGAACTTAATAGTAAGGAACTTTGAGCTTGTCAAGTGCAACGGAAATGTCATTTACCATCTTCAGTGTAGCTGTGATAGTGCTATGTTCTTTTATAAAACCAGATTGATATGTTGATAAAATCACATTGGTGTATAAATACTCCTTTGGTTAATTGCTCAAAAGAGCTTTAAGAATAACTTATTTCTCTCACAAATCGCATTACTTCCTTTCTCAGATCACACTTAACATCAAGACACACATGACTGTGGGCCAGAAGACGCTGTCTAACTTCGCCTGTCAATTCTCCACAAGTTCCCGTGAGCTTTGTAGAACAGAAAATCCTCCTCCGCAGTTCCAACAATGCACCTGTGTCCTCTCTGATAGCACACTTCCTGCTGAAGGTCAGCGACTTTTGAATTCCCAATGAATTTTCGGATATTTAATCAGTTTCACTCCAATACTCCAATACTACACGTCAACCCATCTTCTAAGTGTTAACCCTGGTATTAAAGTGATCTTCAGTGAAAGTCAAACACAAGGGAGAACAACCAGTTTAAAAAGGAATACAAATTCCAGTAACTTTAATGATAACCCATTTCCATTTGAGGTGCTACCACTTATTGCAACATTTAATGCAGTTCTGTTTGATTTTATTTGAAATGTTTAATCTTTGTAAGAGAACAGTAGTAGAAGATGTTTGCCAACAAAAGGGAAAAAAGCATCAATAGCTTAACATTTCTAGATAACTTCTGCTAAAAACAGTTCAGCTAGTTAACTCAAAAGTAACTGGCAAATTAAGCACAGCTCAAGTTCAGCTGATCACAGTTTATCATAAACACAGATCATTGGCAAATGTCATTCAGGGCGCCTTATTTAAGCTTCTTTAGCCTGCCTATCTTTACTGCTTCCTCCCGCTTTGCAACCCACCTCCACCCTAGTTCCTCCTTTTATGCTGTATCTGATTTAATCATGTAATTTCTGTTGTTATTGGTGCTCTGTTCTGTAACCTGGGGGTATTTGCTTCCGCTCTCCTTGTCTGAAGCTCTTCAACGTGCCACGTGGAAAGGCAAGGAGGTCCCAGAACAGAGCCATACCGCCAAATATAACATTTTGCATTTGGGATAAGTTTCTTTTGACAAAAGTGGTCTTGACTGAACTAAATATGTGGATGGTGTAAGCACCATAATGTGAGTTATGTATGTATGTTATGTAAGTTCATTGAAATATAATGCAAAAAATCATAGTATTGTGTAGTTATTTCATGGACCATGTTTCATGTTTAAAATGTTCAGAAAGAATGCATAGAAAATAATGATTGTTTATACTCCCGTTGATGTAGTGAGTGACGTCATGTGTAGTCAGTCAGGCAGAGAGCAGCGTTAGGCACTGGAGCACATTGCTTTTCTACCATGTGACACAATGTAATTTCAACTTTTTTCAGTAAACGTTTTAAAAATCAATTACATCTTCTGTCATTCATGTCAGTTTGAAGTCACTATGCCTACAGCTCGCTTGTGGCTTGTAGTGACATCCAGAAGGAAAACCACTACAGATGACTTACTAGAAAGGCATGTCAGATTTAAATGGTTTGCCAAATGGCCAGAAGAGGCTGGCATTATCATAGGAGCATATTGAACATTTCCACAAAGCAGCTGACCAACTGTGATGCCTCACGGTATATATTGTTACATTGCATCCAAACATGTACTGCGGAAAAATATGACGTAGAACTTTTTTTTACTGTAATGTTCATTGTACTATTTGCATGTCAGGTCTGGCGGTCACTGTAACAATTAGACTTGGGACGACACAGCTGTTGGAACAACTGAAGCTTACCAACTGTACAGACATCAGGGGACCACCAACCTCAGTCCTGTAAGTCCACTACCATTTGATAGACATCTATTTACTGTAGAGAAATAATACCCAATACGTTTAAGATGTTAAAGCATCAACAACAAGAGTTACATTCATTTTCTCTTCAGGGTGTCAGCAGTGTATCGAGGCTGGATGTGGCTGGAGCACAAACGGTTGTTCCCTGGGCGACTGAAGGAGTTATGAAAGTAATTATCTATTCATCATCCTAAGCTAGGCTTCTCCACGCTCTATACACGTATTGCTCAATTTAAAATGCTACATTGGAACACTCCAATACAATCACCACATTTAGTGAAAATCGACAAGAAAACTATGAGCTTAACTGTTTTATGATAATCGGCAAATTACTGGTAGGACTACTTACTAGGACTGACTAGATGAGACTAACTGATGCTATTTAGTTGATTCAGCTATAACTAACCTCCTCAATCAATCAACAAAAACGGTGCAAAAGTGTGGGTGAGTATATATGTTCATTAATATATAGTTGTTTGTATATCTGGACTTGTAACAAAAGAATTCCCCCCTGGCATTATTAAAGAATTCTGATTCCAATTCTGAATTCGATTCCCTACTGTAAAATTTCTCTGTACTAACACATAGTGATAAAATATTATGGTTTTATCTTCTCATCTACCTACTTCAGTATAAATACAAAATGTGCATTTATATTTCCTAAATGTCAGTCTATTCCTTAATTAAACCTCAATGAAAGAGACATAAGTTTGCAAGTCATTTATACTGTACCTTTAACAGTGCTGTTAGTTAAACCTGCTAAATTTTCTCCTCTTCATCTCTCTTGCAGGACAGTGTTTGCCAAATGATGGAATCAGGATGACGTTTTCTGTGAGTTGAAGCTCTTCTCACACACACTCTCCCTCTGAACTTCACACCCCATTCACAGTAATGGATGGGAATCAATTGTGTGTGTTTATGTTTTACTTTCAGAGGCCACGAGATCTCCTCCATCATACTCCCAGCGTTGATTCTACATAATAAGCAATTATCTGGGGACATAGAAAACCTGTTAGCCTGAGCATAGTAATGTCATGAGTTCAGTTATAATTCGACTCAGTGATGTAACCATGGATGTGGAGAAGAATAACCAGGCTAAGTGAATCTAGCATTAACACCAATATAAGAGTCGGTAATCTTTCTGGGTCTTATTTCAGGTGTGGATATGATATCTTATCCCAGATTCA